GCTTCCCTGGCCGTAGGGCCCTGGAAGGGCTGCTGCGCTGCCCCTGGGTGGGCCTGAGGGCCTGTTGCTTCATCCCCTCTGCATCCTCCATGCCTCTCCCCCAAGGACAGCACCTTTCTTTAGAAGCCCTCCACCTAATTCCATGCTCCCAAATTGTCCCGCCTCTTTCCCCTTCCACTCTTGGCGCTGCTCAGCTGCTTTTAACAAGGAAGCACTAAGCCCTGGGTGCCACCTGTTAGTTGTGTTCTGTGGTTTGTTTTTAAAATCTGGGAGGGCCGTGTGTGCAGTGGCATTCTCAGGAGAGGAAGACAGGCGACATTACCGACTTCAGTGACCAGGGGGTCATTGATCTTCAAGGAAATGATGATCTTCTTTACTGGGGTTCTTTCTTTGACTTTCTCAGGCGACCGAGCTAGAAGGCAACGGGATAAGCACGTGTGACAGTCACGTTGAACCGTGTAAGACAGACGCTCCCCCACCCTCCCACAACCGTGATGTGGGCACCGACCACCCTGCGTTTTGTTTCTGTTTGCTTGTTTGTTTAGTGGATACAGTTTTGAAATGATCGTTTATTTTGAATTAGCTGAAGCCTCACAAGCAGTCACACAAATAGTACGGGCAGTTCCCCCATGGCCCCTGGCCAGCTTCCCCCGATGATCCTGCACGGCCTCTGTGGCTGTCAGAACTGGGAAATTGATGCTCACACAGCATCTTAAGATGTTATCACCAACCCCCTGCCTCCCCTTCTCGCTCCGTTGCCACCCCCTTTCATCAGGCTGTGAGCGGCCGAGGGAGAGCAGGGGGCCTCTCCGCACCCCAGCACCTCCCACAGACCCGGTACCAGGGGGAAGCCCAGGGACCACCTGCGGGAGGACGAGTGTGGGATGGGGGTGTCTGCCAGGAGGCTCCTGGAACTTTGCCCCACAGAGCTCCAGAGGACCCTCACCACTGAACAAAGGTTTTCCGGGGGAAGGATCACCACCAGCTCCCCTGTCTACTCGGAGTTGTTCTAAAATGTGATTTGCAGCACGCACCGCTCTCGGGTCTCCTGTGCCACCCCACACCCCAAGCACAAAATGAGCCCCCCCAGTGATCCCAGGGCCCTGCCATGAGTCTCCAGTTCACTGGGCTCCCAACCTGCCTCCTCAGGGCTTGCTCCCCAGGAAAGTCATGGGGCTCCCTCCCGCCTGCCTCAGGGCCCACCTGACCCTGAGTGTAAGGCAGCACCCCACCCCCACCTGCCCCCCAAATGACTTTCTGTTTCCTCCTAGGCTCATCCCCGTTGACACCACTGCCTGCTGTCACACCAGGTAGCTGTTGGCTCATTATCTGTCAGGCAGGCCCACTGGGTGGTTTACAGACCATGCCTTCCCCATGGACCCACCAAGCACAGGCTTGCATGCACTGGGGCTCAGGAAATACCAGCCAAATTAATGGAATGAATGGATTCCACCAGAATCCCAAGCCTAGTGAGCTCAAGGCAGGTAAAAGAAAAACGACGAGTCGGGGGCCAAAAAGTATGACACGCTTTGCAACTATGAAGACCAGGAGAAACCCTGCTTCCCCAGGCAAGCGGGCCTGCAGGGCCCCCCCTCAGCAGACCCCAGCACCTGGCTCTGCCCGGGCTCTCATTCGGCAAGTATTTTAGAGTACCTACTGAGTGCCAGGCCTTGTTCCGGCTCTGGATATCACTCTCCTCTCCCGGATTTCTGCACAGCTCTGCTCTGCCAGTTACCCCCTCTGGGGGCAGTCAGCAAGATAGCACCCACAGGTGCTTGGCACAGCGTGGGCGCTCGGGAGCTGGGAGTTAGTGTCATGGTTTGCCATGCTGCTCCTCATGCTCTATCAGCATCTGGGGCTTGGGTCTGTCCCCTGGTCTCCCGACACTAAATTCCTAGCACAATGCCTAGCATAAATTAAGCACTCAACCTGTGTCAAAGGAAGGGAGGAATACCATTAGCTTGGCCAGAAGGGGTGGAAGAGAGAGTGCAACATTCCCTCTCTTTTACGTAAAATCTCAAAATCAGATAGGCAAGTGGTGCTTTGATCATGAGCTTGTGAGGTGTTCTGAAACCAAGGAGGGTCATTTGCCGTGAAAGAGGGATGTTCGCTTCTTGGGTTTTCTCCTGGAGAATAAACGTGTCCTGCTGAGTACAGCTGATCCTGGACGCTCAATGGAAAAAAAATCAACAGCTGGGACAGGCTCACACAGCCAGCACAGGGTGGCTGGAGCAGAGGGGGCTGCATCTCCGCAGAGCCCACCACTCCGGGCTCGGTCACTCTCTGCTGCCAACTCCAGGCCAGCACACTGATGTTCTCAGGACCACGAAAACCTTAATCGCCGGGTGTGCGTACAAACCATCCTTGTGTGATGTGTTCTGCTTTGAAAAGCACACGAATGGCTCTGACTATTTCTGATGTACATCGTGGAGATGTGAGTCCCAGAGCCCGGTGCAGTGGGGGTGCTTGGGGGGAGTCTCTGGAAAGTTGTGACAGTCTGGACACTGCGGTTTGAGCTCTGCACCTACTGCGACATCCCCAGGCAGGCCCAGCCTCGAGCAGGGGCTGGGATCAGAGTGGCTGTCTTAGCAGGGCCCACCTTTCTTAGGGAGGCCATTCTAGACCCTCAGAGGTCATAACATTAACAGTAACTCTGTTTTCCTTTTCCAGAGTCCCTTGCTTTTCAATGTGCTCACTGCCTGGATCTCCATGGCCTCAAACTGGTTGCCTGGCGAGTGCTCTGACCTGGGCACAGGGATGGGAAGGAAGAGCTCAGCCCCACCCTTGCAGATGCTGTGACAGACGCTTGGGAAGAAGGGAGAAGACCACGAGTGGGCATGAAGGCTGTCACCGTTCTGTGGGAATGCCGCAGGCCCCTCTCAGCTCCCAGCCCAGCTGGGAAGGGCTGACTCAGAGGCTTTGTGGCGGGGAAGATTCTGGCTGGCAGCCGGGCCCTCTCCAGGCTCAGGGTGGGGCAGCAGCTGGGGGCTCAGGCAGCCTGTCTGGCTCTGGAATAACAGAGCTTTACTGCCACATCCTGGAAATGCAATCCCATCCTGACGGGCATGCTGGCTGGCTTCAGAGACCTTGAGTTTTCCATGGTACCTGCTTATGAGTCATCCTGAAGCCATGCCAGTCTACGTCACCTAAAGAGAAAGTCGGCAGTGTGGCTGAAGAGGAACTGGTGGGACATTGGGGATTATTAGGATACAAAAGAAGAAAAAGAGAGAAAGACTTGACCGAAATACTCTATAGAATGAGGTGGAGTTAAGGAAAGGGAAGATGATGTCCTGTTACCCATGTAAGCCTCTAACCAGCATACTGGGCCAAACAAGCCGCAGATGTCAGGCCATGCTTTCCTTCTAGAAAACCTATCAGAAGACTTAGTGCAACCCTTTTCCTCTTCCCAAAGAAGTAGGTAGAGTCTCAGTCTTAGCTGGCTAGACAAGACTGGTTATTATGAGAAAAATAACTGATATTTACTGGGTGTCAATACATGCCAGGCATTGTTCTAGAACTTCACATCTATTTCCTTCCCTACAAAAGCAATGTCATAGAACTG